TGGGGTGTGTGTATAGATGTATTAGGGTTAAGTATTAAGTTGGATGACCTTTTTTGTCTTTTTACACAATAATAAAACTTACACCTTAATGATTTAAATATTGGGGTGAACTAAGAGAAGTGTGGGGTTTAAATAGAAAAAATCTAAAAATAATATCAAATGAGATTACACCAAAGATCATATTTACAAAAAAATAACTTAAATCCGATATCATTTGACCACTCAATTAAATTATTGAAATTTGAGTACTTTCTTGAAGCACTGTGTTTATTGATTTTGTACGACACAATTCGATATCAAAACGATTTCCGATTTGTTTAATTTTTTGCAAAAATGATCTATGAATGCAGACTTAAAATACAGATGGTTCAAATAATTGAAAACAAATTTATTGTTGGTTCTAAAGGGCGTCTCTCGAATAAAATTATTTGAAGAATCCCTAAATGGGAGACGACTGCCTAAAATATATATTATATATATCCCAAAAAGAAAGATTTGAATTATTTATCAGTTGGCCTCGGCGTAAATTGAACTAATGTTAGTTTGTATTAAAATAAAAAATACTTAAACCTAATTAGGATTTAGAACCGATTGTGAAAAAAGAAGAAGATAATTATTGGTTTGATTAACATGTTAAGAATACTTTTTGTCTAAGATTGGCTATAATTATTGAATAATTAAAGCCTTAAGGAATGAAATGCGTGGTGGGTTGACAAGAAAACAAGACGAGGAGGTGGCGTGGTGCATTTGGTGAGGGAGGGCATCGGCGGTCCATATGCAGAAATCATGTGAAGTCGCAATAATAATAATTGACCAAGCCCTCTTATATTAAGTCGTTGACTCATTTATCATTACTCCAGCTCTGCTTCAATCACACGAAAAGCCCATTTGACTTAAATAAACAATTCAACTTAACTATATACGTATTTTTATTAATCTTATGTGTTATTAACAACATTTAGGCGTGAATTATGAATATAATATATCGTCTTTTTTTATATAAAAAATTACAAATTGAAAAGCTGGGAATACCAAATAAATATACAAAATATAACTCCAATATATTTCTACAAAATCTGTTTGAAACTTCAGGCATTGGGTTAACTATTGAGGGATGATTTTTCATTTTAATTTTATTTTAATTTTTGTTTTTTTTAGGACCTTTATTATTGAGAGGAGCGATAGTATACTAAACTCAAACATACTATACAGATGCTAGATTCGAACCCAAGACCTTTCTTGAGGGAATAAATACTCCAAACCACTACACTAATGGGTAATTTTTTTCATTTTAATGCTTATTTAAACAGTAAAAACTAATCGATGTGCAAACCTTAATATTTTTAGATAAAAGCTATTAAAAAAGAGAATTTAAATAGAACCTAACAGCCAAAAAATCTAAAATAAGATTCATATCCTATCACACAATAATAAACTATTAAAGTAATTTTACCCAATTTTAAGCCAAAAATCATTTTTTAATTTATAGTTAATCTCCACACTACATATTTAAACAGTCCACCTAGCTAGATGTGCGAACAATATCATATAAAACGCTTGCTTAATTGTTTGTTGGGGCCGGATGTCACATCCCCATATGCTTTACTGTATCTGCCATTCTCCTTTTATAAATGACTTAACAATCGGACTTGTATTATCTTGACTAGCTTTTAAACACGCGCTCACGCAAATTATTTTTTCGTCTCATACATAACTTAAAATAACTCTACTTGTTTATGGATATAGGCAATGCATTGTTTTAAAATTCAATGTAGACAAATTTAGGCAAGTAGCCTCTGCTATCAGATATGGTACAAAGTTTCCCCAATTATTTAATAATCTAAAACCACAATTAGATAATTAAATGTCAGATTTATTAGTAAACTAAAATTTAAAAAGCATACGTACCTTAATGAAAGTTTCAAGTGGCTCCCGAATTTTGCGTGCTTTGATTCCACCGTGATCAGAGCCCTTGTCTTTCTTATGCTTCTTGAGATTACGAGCCAATGCATGCGTGACCAAACCAAGCGACACGCTATACAACTGCGTAGCATTCACAAACGCCGTAGCCAACGACGTGTCGTTTCCCAAAATTGTGCTCTTCGACGCCACGAGCCCGTCGTAGCAAGTCTGCTGGTTCGTCACAATGCCGCTCAGCAGCGTCTGCACTTTGTCCACCAGCGCCTCGTTCAGCGACTCGGCGAACTTCAGCTCCGTCGAGATCGCCTCCAAGAACTCCACGTTGAGCTCCGAGAACTCGAGGCAGTCCTCCAGCGCGTTCCGCTCACTGTGGTTTACGAGGACCGACTTGTATTTGGTCTTGTGAAGGAAATGGTCGATGGCTTTGGATGTCTTGCGTGCTTGCTTTAGGCATTGTTTGATAGAGAACTTGCCGTAGTTGTAGGGATCGGAGGGGGAGGATTGGATGGTGGATAGGATTGAACGGCATAGTTTCGGGTAGAGGGTGGACTTGCAAGCGGAAGAGGCCGAGGAGGAGGAGGATGCAGAGGTTGGCAAAAGCAGTGAAAAGTTGTAGAGAAGAGAAAGAAGAAGGAAGAGAGAGAAGGGTAGTTTTGGCATTTTGATTGTGATGTTTTTGGGGGGCTCTATGTGTGTGGGGTTGAGTGGGTGTATGAAAGTGTGTGTATGAATAAGGGTATGGGTATGGGGGTTTATTTATAAGATTATTGAAGTATGAATTATTATACCAAGGGATAGAGAGATATGCATGTGCAGATGGCGTGAACATTATTAATATGGGATTGGGGTTATGTGGTGCGTCGGGTTCGAGATATATATATATATATATATATATATTGTTTCGTTTCGTTTTGGTCAAAGACTCAAATAAAGGGTTTGAAAATGTAGATAGGTGAACAATTTTAAGGGAGATTCACTATTATACCCGATATAAGAGCCCAAATTATAAAATAAATAAAAAAACCCTATATGAAATGGACTTTAGAAACATACCCAAAATCCATTTACAACATAATAAAAAGACTTTTAACTTCTTTTAAATTACAAAACTGTCATTAATTTCTTAAAACAAGCCTAACCCCAAAACTTCATAAAAAAACCGAAAATACTTAATAGGGCATCAAAGTAATTTAATAATCAAAATTAAATTCAATAGGATCAGCTATTATTTTTTGGATTTTTTTTGTTTGTTTATTGAAATTAAATTGTGTATGGTTTATTTATAGTTTTAGTACTAAAAATGAGTATATGACTAAATATCTCTAATTTTAATGTAGATATTGCAATGTGATTGAGGTAGGGAACTAGGAAGGTGCAAGGAAAGGCACACTCCTACGGCATCGTTTCGTTCAGTACTATGATATTGCCACCTTCCAACGTTTTTTTTTTTTTTAAGGGAAAGGGGAATATCATTAGAATCATTAGAAATCATTATAAAGGAAGCTGCATGTGGGAATGCAGTCTCATTTAAATCTTTCTGGGGAAAATCATATGGGACAAAATTCTGGAGTAGGGAAAAGAGTGTCACACATGTATTGGACTACAAAAGAGTCATAACGACACAAACACCAAAAGAAATACGACAGAGTACAACTACATGCCCAACAAATAATATCCCACCATAACGTACTATCAAAAAAGACCTTCTATGCTCGCATAGTTCTTTGTACAGTGCCGAACAAATGTATCTTGAGCATCATAAACAGAACCAGCAGAAGCACCAAACACCAACTCCACCAAACCAAACAAAATAAAGCACATCTAAAGCCCAGCAAAGAACATCCCACCACAACGTAATACTGTCAAATAAGACCTCTTATGCAAGCACTGTTCTTTGTATAGGGTTTTTGTTAAGAGGTGCATCCCAATCATTGTTTTCCAATTGCTTTTCATTTTCGGAGTAGCTCACAACAATGAGGCAAGTCAAGTCCTCTAACTATATGAATATGCTACATCCATTTGCAAATGAATTTGACAGACAATCATTTTCCATACATGTGAGAAAATGGTGATGGATTATGAAAGCATTTGTGAAAGCATTTTTAATTATTTAATAATGGCATTCAAAGATGATTAATCATTTATGAAAGCATTCAAAGATGAATGCAACTCCTTAGTTGATTCCTTAATCTCAAGAGTGGCACTTTGGACTTTTGTAATGTTGGTTAGGTGCTTCACAGTCGTACCCATCACCTTTTGTTGCTTAATACTTTTCTTCCTACGGAAGAAGCAGGGACGGACCTACAGTGGGGTCACTGGGGTCAAACGACCCTATGAAAGCCATGGAAATAGGGTTGGAGGTCCACTTGAGCTAGCTGTGTGACCCCTTGGATTGCCCTCCAAGTGTTTGATGTTTTGCCTGAGAAGAAGAGGGAGGAAGCTGTGCGCAAGAGGAAGAAGAAGCAGCGCAACGCGCTTCTGTTTTTTTTAAAAAACACCTGGGCAAAACGACGTCGTTTTGGCTCAGGAAAATTTTTAAAATTAAAAACCTTCCGTATCCCTCTATTCTCCAACATTAAACTGTTTGTTGTAAATATATGCATGTGGAGCCCACATGTTTTTCCTTTTCCCTGTACAATACCTGATGAGCACGTTTCCTCCCTTCTATAAAGGGAGGCCTCTGTTCATTAAAAAAAAAAAAAAAAAAAAGGGAGGCCTCATCTTCATTGTAATGATTGATCAATCTGAATAAAACTCCCTAACTAGGATTTCTCTCCATTTCAATTCTCTCAATCTTTCAGTTTCTCAATCTCAATCTATTTAGTTTATAACACTGTTTTCTTTTTAATATTTTTTCACCTGTTTTGTTGTTGGAATCAACAAGTCAACTTTATTTCATTTATTATTATTTCTTCCTCTCAAATTCCAATGACTAGCTTAGAAATTAGAATCTATGAATGATGAACTTTACTTGTAATTTTATCTAAGGATGACCACAATATGGTTTTATCACCACTATTTAACACTTAAGAATTTCTCCACACCAAAAAAAAAACTTGTTTTTCTTCATTGTAATTAGAACAAAATGCATGTATACTGGTTTTAATTTAATGGAAATCAAATTTATAATTGATTGGATGAAATTTATGATTTATATGTATTAGATTGATTTTTTGGATGAAGTTTTTGCTTATTTTTGTTGATTAGGCGGTTGTGTCGTTTTTTGGTTAATTGGCATAGGTTTGGTTTGAAATTTTATGAATTGAAACACTCAAAAAATACATAAAAAAAAATGACAAATTGAAATCATTCAAAGTATATTTTTCTAATAAAGGAATAAAATTTGGAAGAGAAAAAATAGATAAGAAAAATAACCCGTTTTTAAAATTTCTTTCGAACATTTACACTATGACCCTATGGATTTCGGATCCTGGGTATGTCACTGGGAAGAAGTCACATTAATCGTCCCACAAATGCCTGCTGCAGTCATTATAATGTCGGTTGGTGCTTTTACTCTACCCCAGATGTGTTTGATACCTCCAATACAGCACGAGTGTTGGCCATTAGTTTGACTAGGAGCTTAAGACTTTAATCGGAGCTTACCACTTGGAATTGGGAGGTAATATGATATGTTTAATCATTGACAACTTACATGTGATCTATGCTTCAAATTGTTTTAGCTATACCTTGTTTCCAAGGCATCCCATGATCCCACGATTTATGCAAGAGATTCTTAAGTGGTTAATATCTTGTATATACTCCTTCCTTGCCCAAATTGTAACAAAAATTCCCACTATTTGATTACTACCTATAAGGATGTACTTCAAATGGTAGCTAGTAGACGCCATGAAAATTAATGATATATTAAAATCATTTTATCCATCTTCTTCTGCCTCAGAACAAAGGTCTTGTTCATTTATATTTTTGGTGGTTACATCGAAGAATGGAGGGCGCTTGAAGCTTCTGTGATGGCGAGCGAGAGAGCGATGAGAAACCAGCGAAACTTCTAAGACGACTAAACATTCCCAAAACTTGTAGCCTTACTCCAGCATGATTTTCTTGTCCTTTTTCATGGTAAATTCAATGTACAAGGTTTCAGAGGTGCATCCCAGTCATTGTTTTCCAAAAGCTTTTCGTTTTCGAAGTTGCTCAAAACGATGAGACAAGTCAAGTCCTTTAACTATATGAACGTACTACATCCATTTGCAAAGGAATTAATCAGACAATCATTTTCCATACATGTGAGAAAATGGTGATGGATTATAAAAAGGATTTATGAAAGCATTTTTAATTATTTAATAATAGCACTCAAAGATGATTAATCATTTATGAAAGCATACAAAGATGAATGCAACTCCTTAGTCGATTCCTTAATCTCAAGAGTGGCACTTTGTAGTTTTTTTGTAATGCTGGTTACGTGCTCCACAGTCGCACCAATCAGCTTCTGTTGCTCAATACTTTTCTTCCTACTGAAGAAGTCACACTAATCGTCCCACAAATCCCTGCTGCAGTAATTATACTGCCGGTTGGTGCTTTTACTCTATCCCAAATGTGTTTGATACCCTGCAATACAGCACGAGGGCTAACCATTGGTTTAAATGGGAGCTTAGGAATTTAATCGAAGCTTACCACTTGGACTTGGGAGGTAATATGAGAATCATTAACAACTTACATGTAATCTATGCTTCAAATTGTTTTAGCTATACCTTGTTTCCATAGCATCCCATGATCCCACGATTATGCAAGAGATTTTTAAGTGGCTAACATATTGCATTACTCCTTCCTAGCCCAAATGGTAACAAATATTCCCACAATTTGATTACTACTTATAAGGATGTACTTCAAATGGTTGCTAGTAAAGGCCAAGAAAATCTATGATACATTAAAATCATTTTATCCATGCCTCAGAACAAAGGTCGCGTTCGTTTATATTTTGGTGGTTACATCGAGGAAGGGAGGATGCTTGAAGCTTCTGTGATGGCGAGCGAGCAATGAGAAACCATTGAAACTTCTAAGACGACTAAACATTCCCAAAATTTGTAGCCCGAGTCCAACTTGATTTTCTTGTCATTTTTCATGGTAAATTCAATATACAATGTTTTTGTTAAAAGGTGCATCCCAGTCATTGTTTTCTGAAAGCTTTTTTGTTTCAGAGTAGCTCAAAATGATGAAGCAAGTCAAGTCCTTTAACTATTTGAACGTACTACATCCATTTGGAAAGGAATTAGTCAGACAATCATTTCCCATACATATGAGAAAATGGTGATGGATTATAAAAAGGATTTATAAAAGCACTTTTAATTATTTAATAATGGCATTCAAAGATGATTAATCATTTATGAAAGCATTCAAAGGATTAATCATTGTCTTAGACAAGGACATAAATGCATTGTAATCACAAACTGACTAGGTTCTCTAAATGAATTCTATTTAACTTGGGTAGCTATGACATACTGCTAGATGTCACTCATGATTTATGGGAACCCTGTAAGGACTAATTACAATTAGCCTTCGCCAATCGGGAGAATTGTATGGAGGGATACAATTCACATTCTATTTAGTAGAAATCATTCTTACCCACGGCCTCGTTAATTAGAACCTATAAGATGCACACCCAAAAGGTATGGATCAAGAATTTAAAAAAGAATAAATGATTTTGCAGCTTGGTCAAATTCAAAGTCAAAGTCAAGGTCACAGTCAAAGAAAGTCAAAGTCAAGGGTCAAACTGTTGCCCAACACTTGACACGATCAACTAAGGATGACCGGGACCAACACGTGTTAAACAAGTAAGTGACTTAATTTGTTAAGTCATTGAAATAATTAAATTAATTAGATTAGTTCAATTATCCAATTAAAATTATGGAACTTTAGTTAGGGTCCCATATGACTTGGAAATTTATAGAAATGGACAATATAAACTTAGACACAAGCATGACACATTATGAGATAAATGTGGTTAACCAAGATAGCCCAAAAAGGCCCTCTACTTGAACACCATTCTTAGGTTGAAGATTCGCTCCAAGGGTATGTCTTCTCAATCCTTCTCTCAATAGTTGTTGTAGAGAGTCATTGGTGCAAAATTTTCATAAGCCTAGAAAGATTGGGACCTAGGAGGAGACTTGTATGAATCTTTAGCTATTTATTACTTCTGCTTTCATTTTAATTCCTGATTAGATATGTCATGCTAGATGATTTGTTCTCTCATAGTTTCTTGGGATTTTAGAAATCCCTACACCCTACTTTCCCTTCAGGCATGTATGCTCGGTATTGACTTGGATGCTTGGTATTAGCATGTATGCCTCGTATTGGCACACGTATGCTTGGGATTGTCATGTATGCTCCGTATTGGGTTTTGGGAGTTTGGTATGAGTTCCCGCAGCTTGATACGGATTCGACGAGGTTATGGGTCCGGCATCTTCCGGCACCTTGCTATGGGTTATAGTAGCTCGACTTTGGGCTTGATTGTTAGAGTGTTGGTTAAGGTGGCATGGTTTAATATAGCTTTTGGGCTATTTAGCACGATGGCTATGCTTGAGTATTTGGGGTTTTAGCTATGGAGGTTATAGAAGTTGTGAGTAGTGTGGGGTTGAAGTCTAGAAAAAATA